ATTCTTTTAATACGTGCTGAAGTGAAATATCTCCGCAGAACATTCTTTCCGATCTACTGAAATTTGATATGACAGAAGATATATTTTACCAGCACAGAAATGGAGCGTGTCTGAAATATTGTAATTTACGTTAATTTTAAATAATAAACATTAAACAAGCAAACAGTTGTGACCAGTTAAGATAGCATAGATTTTTCAGTCATAGTAGCCAGCCTGTTTTTCTGAACCTGCAATGTTGTCATTTTCCTTTTGATATTTTGTTAATAAAATGTGAATTGAATTTAGTGATGTAAACTAACATTATTCTAGGCTGTTTTTATCAGTTTTATCATACTTTGGGTTGTGAATAACAAATATGAATAAAATCTCACTTTTGAGCCTGTCTTTCTTTCCTTAGATTAGTAAGATTTTGCTGTTAATCTTTATCCCTTATCAGTAAATAATGGAAATGAAAATGTAAGGCTTCTAAATGGTATTTGTGATCCCAGGAGCCACGATTTTACTGGGATGGAGGCTGGACTCTACAAAACCAGAGTCCTTTAAGGTACTGCTGCTTCTCCTAATGTGTGTGCATACTTGTTCTTTTGCAGCTTGATAAAAGCTCTAGGTTGAGGTTCTTGGCTGGTGCAAGTGGGTATTAATTTCCCTACTGGTAGCTTTAATTTTTTTTTTTTTTTTTTTTGAACAACAGCTGTGCTCCCAGGAGGAACAGGACAGAATGTAAGAGTTGTATTAGCAAGCTCCCATTCCCACTTTCTTAAATAAGAAAGTCTTGGTAGATTAATGACACCAAGCACAATATTGTAAAATGCAAACCCATGTCTGCCTACTGCAAACATACCTGTTTCATTTACAGTTAGACTCCTGTATTACATGTCTGGTTTACGTAGTTCTTCCCAGTTTGACACAGTAAACCAGTTGTGTAATATAGTAGCCTAATTGTAAGTTAAACAGACTCCTGCGTCTTAGGCTTGGTTGTTGTCTGGGAAAATGAGTTCATCTTTAATCTGTTCAAGTGAAAATTCTGGTCTCTCTGGTGCTCAGTTCTTTTTTCACTGAAATTTTCCATCTTTGATTTAAACTTAATTCAGATAATTTAGAGTAAAGACACCAATTCTGCATAGAAACTGAATAGATGAGCTTGCAGTTTTGGTTCAAAGGCTATCTTAGTAAAGCATTTGTAACTGCTCATTCATCAGTTGGGATTGGAGTTGGGACTGACGCTCATTCAGCATCCTGCCTCTACGGCTTCTACGGTTGCCTTCTGAATGTTAAAAAATATTTCTAGGTGAGTAAACTGACATCAGCTGGATTTTTAGGTATTTCAGATTTCTCTGTACTAAGATGAACTACATGAAGAAGAAAAAAAAATCTTGGAGAGGTGTGTGCTCTTCAGAACAAGCTCAAAATCAAGCTCGTTTGCAGTATGCAGATGGAGTTGGGGGGAAGGGAAATGACGCTTTGGGAAATCGATTCTTGTGATGCATTTTGCAGGTATGCTCTCTCTCCTGTGCCAGGTGTTGTTTTAATAATAAAAAGGTGTTCCTTTCCACTTGAAACAACACAGCTAAGGATACAGCAAATGTGTAACTTCTAAAAATGTTTAAAATCTCACTGTAAACTGAACTGAGTATAAACCTGATGATAATGACAATTTCATTAGAATCGTGTGGCTGGAAGCTGAAGTTGCATGAATTCAATCTTGAGTTGAGGTACTATTTCCTAGCAGCCGAGTAAAAGAGATATTAGAACAGCTTATCCAGAGACGGCTTTGACGGTGATTTTTAATTTTTTTGTTAAGGTGACCTGACCCTATTTCCTCTGGGAAAAAACAACCAAGCAAATCCAACCTGCTATGGTCTGCTTTGGGGAAAGTTTCCTGCCCTGGGGGGCGGGCAGCCAGCGGGAGCTCTTAATTCTATTGAGTCTGAGGTATCAATTCTGAGTCTGCGGTGTTTGTTAATTCTGAGTCTGAGGTGTTCCTGGTACCAGTACGTACGTATGTGTGCACGCACAGAGGTGTCCCGAGGATTTTCAGTGTCTTGAGGCAGCTCTGTATTCATGTACGTCAGCATTGTCAGCGTGCTCAGTGCTGTATAGGGAATGAAATAAATGGTGAACCCTGCTAGAATCGCTTAGGCCCTGGCGCCTGCCACAAAATAGTTGGGAGTCACTGAACAACCTTCCCAGTTCCCTTGGACTTTAAAGGAGGTGTGGGAACTCTGGGAGGACGGTAGGTTTCCAGTCGGCCGTGGTCCTTCATTAGAGGTGAACAGAAAGAATGGGAACACTGGAAAAAGGAAGAAGGCATTTCATGTTTTGCTTTTTGTAGTAACAGGTGGAGGAAGAGGGTGGTTTCTAGTGTTCCGTCAAATATCCGTAGGTGTCTCTGGAGAGATTCGTTGTCATCTGTGGTTGACATAGGTGTGCGCTCCTACATGTGGAAAGCAGTCTCAAGCTTGTGCTGGGCTGGGCTTTTTTTCAGCTGCGTAGGTAAACAAGTAGCCCTTAAGAGAGATTCTTAGCTAAATATAGTAATCTCTTTACAGATTAATTTTTACTGCTGCAGATAAATAGAGAAGTCCTTAGCTGATTAGCCAGAGCAGGGAGTACTTCTGCGCCTTTCTCTTGGTGAGCGGTCACATGCAGAGTGCTTTGGAGATTAGGGCTGAGGGCAAACCGTTTCCGAGATGTCTCAACAGCTTGTCTGAGGTGTGTCACCTTTCCAAGTCGCTCAGCATTTCCAGTTGCTAGCATGCTGTCGTACCACGTGAAAACTGTCTGCCCCGTTCGGCCATCACTCACATTGCCAACGCAGCGTAG